TACAACCACTCTCTACTCTACCACCACTACCACCACTCTCTACTCTACTCTACCACCACTACCACCACTCTCTACTATACTCTACCACCACTACCACCACTCTCTACTCTACTCTACCACCACTATCACCACTCTCTACTCTACTCTAACACCACTACCACCACTCTCTACTATACTCTACCACCACTATCACCACTCTCTACTCTACCGCCACTACCACCACTCTCTACTATACTCTACCACCACTACCACCACTCTCTACTCTACCACCACTACCACCACTCTCTACTCTACTCTACCACCACTACAACCACTCTCTACTCTACTCTACCACCACTATCACCACTCTCTACTCTACCACCACTACCACCACTCTCTACTCTACTCTACCACCACTACAACCACTCTCTACTCTACCTCCACTATACCATTCTCTACTCTACTCTACCACGACTACCACAACTCTCTACTCTACTCTACCACCACTACCACCACTCTCTACTCTACTTTACTACCACCACTCTCTACTCTACTCTACCACGACTACTACCACCACTCTCTACTCTACTCTACCACCACTATCACGACTCTCTACTCTACTCTACCACCACTACCACCACTCTCTACTCTACTCTACCACCACTACAACCACTCTCTACTCTACTCTACCACCACTATCACCATTCTCTACTCTACTCTACCACCACTACAACCACTCTCTACTCTACTTTACTACCACCACTCTCTACTCTACTCTACCACCACTACTACCACCACTCTCTACTCTACTCTATCACCACTACAACCACTCTCTACTCTACCTCCACTATACCATTCTCTACTCTACTCTACCACGACTACCACAACTCTCTACTCTACTCTACCACCACTACCACCACTCTCTACTCTACTTTACTACCACCACTCTCTACTCTACTCTACCACCACTACTACCACCACTCTCTACTCTACTCTACCACCACTACCACCACTCTCTACTCTACTCTACCACCACTACCACCACTCTCTACTCTACTCTACCACCACTACAACCACTCTCTACTCTACTCTACCACCACTATCACCATTCTCTACACTACTCTACCACCACTACAACCACTCTCTACTCTACTTTACTACCACCACTCTCTACTCTACTCTACCACCACTACTATCACCACTCCCTACTCTACTCTACCACCACTACCACCACTGTCTACTCTACTCTAACACCACTACCACCACTCTCTACTCTAATCTACCACCACTACAACCACTCTCTACTCTACTCTACCACCACTACCACCACTCTCTACTCTACTCTACCACCACTACCACCAATCTCTACTCTACTCTACCACCACCACAACTACTCTCTACTCTACTCTACCACCACTACAACCACTCTCTACTCTACCACCACTACCACCACTCTCTACTATACTCTACCACCACTACCACCACTACCACCACTCTCTACTCTACTCTACCACCACTACGACCACTCTCTACTCTACCACCACTATCACCACTCTCTACTCTACTCTAACACCTCTACCACCACTCTCTACTATACTCTACCACCACTATCACCACTCTCTACTCTACCGCCACTACCACCACTCTCTACTATACTCTACCACCACTACCACCACTCTCTACTCTACTCTACCACCACTACCACCACTCTCTACTCTACTCTACCACCACTACAACCACTCTCTACTCTACCACCACTACCACCACTCTCTACTCTACTCTACCACCACTACCACCACTCTCTACTCTACTCTACCACCACTACCACCACTCTCTACTCTACTCTACCACCACTACAACCACTCTCTACTCTACCACCACTACCACCACTCTCTACTCTACTCTACCACCACTACAACCACTCTCTACTCTACCACCACTACCACCACTCTCTACTCTACTCTACCACGACTACCACCACTCTCTACTCTACTCTACCACCACTACCACCACTCTCTACTCTACTTTACTACCACCACTCTCTACTCTACTCTACCACCACTACTACCACCACTCTCTACTCTACTCTACCACCACTATCACCACTCTCTACTCTACTCTACCACCACTACAACCACTCTCTACTCTACCACCACTACCACCACTCTCTACTCTACTCTACCACCACTACAACCACTCTCTACTCTACCACCACTACCCCCACACTCTACTCTACTCTACCACGACTACCACCACTCTCTACTCTACTCTACCACCACTACCACCACTCTCTACTCTACTTTACTACCACCACTCTCTACTCTACTCTACCACCACTACTACCACCACTCTCTACTCTACTCTACCACCACTACCACCACTCTCTACTCTACTTTACCACCACTACCACCACTCTCTACTCTACTCTACCACGACTACCACCACTCTCTACTCTACTCTACCACCACTACCACCACTCTCTACTCTACTCTACCACCACTACCACCACTCTCTACTCTACTCTACCACCACTACCACCACTCTCTACTCTACTCTACCACCACTACAACCACTCTCTACTCTACTCTACCACCACTATCACCATTCTCTACTCTACTCTACCACCACTACCACCACTCTCTACTATACTCTACCACCACTACCACCACTCTCTACTCTACTCTACCACCACTACAACCACCTTCTACTCTACTCTACCACCACTACCACCACTCTCTACTCTACTCTACCACCACTACCACCACTCTCTACTCTACCACCACTATCACCACTCTCTACTCTATTACCACTACCACCACTCTCTACTCTACCACCACTACGATCACTCTCTACTCTACCACCACTATCACCACTCTCTACTCTACTCTACCACTGCTACCACCACTCTGTACTCTACTCTACCACCACTATCACCATTCTCTACTCTACTCTACCACCACTACCACCAATCTCTACTCTACTCTACCACCACTACAACTACTCTCTACTCTACTCTACCACCACTACAACCACTCTCTACTCTACCACCACTACCACCACTCTCTACTATACTCTACCACCACTACCACCACTCTCTACTCTACTCTACCACCACTACGACCACTCTCTACTCTACCACCACTATCACCACTCTCTACTCTACTCTAACACCTCTACCACCACTCTCTACTATACTCTACCACCACTATCACCACTCTCTACTCTACCGCCACTACCACCACTCTCTACTATACTCTACCACCACTACCACCACTCTCTACTCTACCACCACTACCACCACTCTCTACTCTACTCTACCACGACTACCACCACTCTCTACTCTACTCTACCACCACTACCACCACTCTCTACTCTACTTTACTACCACCACTCTCTACTCTACTCTACCACCACTACTACCACCACTCTCTACTCTACTCTACCACCACTACCACCACTCTCTAATCTACTCTACCACCACTACAACCACTCTCTACTCTACTCTACCACCACTACCACCACTCTCTACTCTAATCTACCACCACTAAAACCACTCTCTACTCTACCACCACTACCACCACTCTCTACTCTACTCTACCACTACTACCACCACTCTCTACTATATTCTACCACCACTACCACCACTCTCTACTCTACTCTACCACCACTACCACCACTCTCTACTCTACTCTACCACTACTACCACCACTCTCTACTATACTCTACCACCACTACCACCACTCTCTACTCTACTCTACCACCACTACCACCACTCTCTACTCTACTTTACTACCACCACTCTCTACTCTACTCTACCACCACTACTACCACCACTCTCTACTCTACTCTACCACCACTACCACCACCCTCTACTCTACTCTACCACCACTACCACCACTCTCTACTCTACTCTACCACCACTACCACCACTCTCTACTCTACTCTACCACCACTACCACCACTCTCTACTCTACTCTACCACCACTACAACCACTCTCTACTCTACTCTACCACCACTACCACCACTCTCTACTCTACTCTACCACCACTACCACCACTCTCTACTCTACTCTACCACCACTACCACCACTCTCTACTCTACTCTACCACCACTACCACCACTCTCTACTCTACTCTACCACCACTATCACCATTCTCTACTCTACTCTACCACCACTACCACCACTCTCTACTATACTCTACCACCACTACCACCACTCTCTACTCTACTCTACCACCACTACAACCACCTTCTACTCTACTCTACCACCACTACCACCACTCTCTACTCTACTCTACCACCCCTACCACCACTCTCTACTCTACCACCACTCTCTACTCTACCACCACTACGATCACTCTCTACTCTACCACCACTATCACCACTCTCTACTCTACTCTACCACTGCTACCACCACTCTGTACTCTACTCTACTACCACTATCACCACTCTCTACTCTACTCTACCACCACTACCACCACTCTCTATTCTACTCTACCACCACTACCACCACTCTCTACTCTACTCTACCACCACTACAACCACTCTCTACTCTACTCTACCACCACTACCACCACTCTCTACTCTACTCTACCACCACTACACCACTCTCTACTATACTCTACCACCACTACCACCACTATTCTACTCTACTCTACCACCACTACTATCACTCTCTACTCTACCGCCACTACCACCACTCTCTACTATACTCTAGCACCACTACCACCACTCTCTACTCTACCACCACTACCACCACTCTCTACTCTACTCTACCACCACTACAACCATTCTCTACTCTGCCACCACTATCACCACTCTCTACTCTACTCTACCACCACTACCATCACTCTCTACTCTACCACCACTACCACCACCACTCTCTACTCTACCACCACTACCACCACTCTCTACTCTACTCTACCACCACTACCACCACTCTCTACTCTACTCTACCACCACTACCACCACTCTCTACTCTACTCTACCACTGCTGTGGTGCTCACTCCGTGCTGCTCACCCAGTGCTGGGCTTAAGTCCGTGTAGTTCACCAGAATGTGCACAGTGGCGTTGATGGGTCTGAAGTTTGCGTCGGGCACCGGCGAGTCCTTGTCAGACAGAGACGTGAGAGCCTGGGCCAGCAGCTCTGTGTGTAGACAGAGACACACGGACACGTGGGGACACAGACATACAATAACAACCGCCATTCGCCACTAAGTGGCGGTGACGTCACCACGACAGACATACCCACTCACAGACACAAGGACACACAGAGCCACCCACTCGTAGACACACGGACAGTGAGAGTGAGCTGTGTGTGAGAGTGAGCTGTGTGTGAGAGTGAGCTGTGTGTGAGAGTGAGCTGTGTGTGAGAGTGAGCTGTGTGTGAGAGTGAGCTGCGTGTGAGAGTGAGCTGCGTGTGAGAGTGAGCTGCGTGTGAGAGTGAGCTGCGAGTGAGCTGTGAGTGAGAGTGAGCTGTGAGTGAGAGTGAGCTGTGTGTGAGAGTGAGCTGTGTGTGAGAGTGAGCTGTGAGCTGTGAGTGAGAGTGAGCTGTGAGTGAGGGTGAGCTGTGAGTGAGAGTGAGCTGTGAGTGAGAGTGAGCTGTGTGAGTGAGTGAGCTGTGAGAGAGAGTGAGCTGTGAGTGAGAATGAGCTGTGAGTGAGAGTGAGCTGTGCGTGAGCTGTGAGTGAGAGTGAGCTGTGTGTGAGAGTGAGCTGTGAGTGAGAGTGAGCTATGAGTGAGAGTGAGCTGTGTGAGTGAGCTGTGTGAAAGTGAGCTGTGAGAGTGAGCTGTGAGTGAGAGTGAGCTGTGAGTGAGCTGTGTGTGAGAGTGAGCTGTGTGTGAGCTGTGAGTGAGAGTGAGCTGTGTGTGAGAGTGAGCTGTGAGTGAGAGTGAGCTGTGTGTGAGAGTGAGCTGTGAGTGAGCTGTGAGTGAGAGTGAGCTGTGTGTGTGAGTGAGCTGTGTGTGTGAGTGAGCTGGGAGTGAGAGTGAGCTGTGAGTGTGAGAGTGAGCTGTGTGTGATAGTGAGCTGTATGTGAGAGTGAGCTGTGAAAGAGAATGAGCTGCGAGTGAGAGTGAGCTGCGTGTGAGAGTGAGCTGCGTGTGAGAGTGAGCTGCGTGTGAGAGTGAGCTGTGTGTGAGAGTGAGCTATGAGTGAGCTGTGAGTGAGAGTGAGCTGTGAGCTGTGAGTGAGAGTGAGCTGTGAGTGAGCTGTGTGAGTGAGTGAGCTGTGAGAGAGAGTGAGTGAGCTGTGAGTGAGCTGTGAGTGAGTGAGCTGTGTGTGAGAGTGAGCTGTGTGAGAGTGAGCTGTGTGTGAGAGTGAGCTGTGTGTGAGAGTGAGCTGTGTGTGAGCGTGAGCTGTGAGTGAGAGTGAGCTGTGAGTGAGCTGTGTGTGAGAGTGAGCTGTGTGTGTGAGTGAGATATGAGTGAGAGTGAGCTGTGTGTGAGAGTGAGCTGTGAGTGAGAGTGAGCTGTGTGTGAGCTGTGAGTGAGAGTGAGCTGTGTGTGAGAGTGAGCTGTGAGTGAGAGTGAGCTGTGTGTGAGAGTGAGCTGTGAGTGAGAGTGAGCTGTGAGTGAGAGTGAGCTGTGTGTGTGAGTGAGCTGTGAGTGAGAGTGAGCTGTGAGTGAGAGTGAGCTGTGAGTGTGAGAGTGAGCTGTGTGTGATAGTGAGCTGTATGTGAGGGTGAGCTGTGAAAGAGAATGAGCTGCGTGTGAGAGTGAGCTGTGAGTGAGAGTGAGCTGTGAGCGAGCGTGAGCTGTGTGTGAGAGTGAGCTGTGAGTGAGAGTAAGCTGTGAGAATGAGCTGTGTGTGAGAGTGAGCTGTGAGTGAGAGTGAGCTGTGTGTCAGAGTGAGCTGTGAGTGAGAGTGAGCTGTGAGTGAGCTGTGAGTGAGCTGTGAGTGAGAGTGAGCTGTGTGTGTGAGAGTGAGCTGTGAGTGAAAGTGAGCTGTGTGTGAGAGTGAGCTGTGTGTGGGAGTGAGCTGTGTGTGAGAGTGAGCTGTGAGTGAGAGTGAGCTGCGTGTGAGAGTGAGCTGCGAGTGAGCTGTGAGTGAGAGTGAGCTGTGAGTGAGAGTGAGCTGTGTGTGAGAGTGAGCTGTGTGTGAGAGTGAGCTGTGAGCTGTGAGTGAGAGTGAGCTGTGAGTGAGGGTGAGCTGTGAGTGAGAGTGAGCTGTGAGTGAGAGTGAGCTGTGTGAGTGAGTGAGCTGTGAGAGAGAGTGAGCTGTGAGTGAGAATGAGCTGTGAGTGAGAGTGAGCTGTGCGTGAGCTGTGAGTGAGAGTGAGCTGTGTGTGAGAGTGAGCTGTGAGTGAGAGTGAGCTATGAGTGAGAGTGAGCTGTGTGAGTGAGCTGTGTGAAAGTGAGCTGTGAGAGTGAGCTGTGAGTGAGAGTGAGCTGTGAGTGAGCTGTGTGTGAGAGTGAGCTGTGTGTGAGCTGTGAGTGAGAGTGAGCTGTGTGTGAGAGTGAGCTGTGAGTGAGAGTGAGCTGTGTGTGAGAGTGAGCTGTGAGTGAGCTGTGAGTGAGAGTGAGCTGTGTGTGTGAGTGAGCTGTGTGTGTGAGTGAGCTGGGAGTGAGAGTGAGCTGTGAGTGTGAGAGTGAGCTGTGTGTGATAGTGAGCTGTATGTGAGAGTGAGCTGTGAAAGAGAATGAGCTGCGAGTGAGAGTGAGCTGCGTGTGAGAGTGAGCTGCGTGTGAGAGTGAGCTGCGTGTGAGAGTGAGCTGTGTGTGAGAGTGAGCTATGAGTGAGCTGTGAGTGAGAGTGAGCTGTGAGCTGTGAGTGAGAGTGAGCTGTGAGTGAGCTGTGTGAGTGAGTGAGCTGTGAGAGAGAGTGAGTGAGCTGTGAGTGAGCTGTGAGTGAGTGAGCTGTGTGTGAGAGTGAGCTGTGTGAGAGTGAGCTGTGTGTGAGAGTGAGCTGTGTGTGAGAGTGAGCTGTGTGTGAGCGTGAGCTGTGAGTGAGAGTGAGCTGTGAGTGAGCTGTGTGTGAGAGTGAGCTGTGTGTGTGAGTGAGATATGAGTGAGAGTGAGCTGTGTGTGAGAGTGAGCTGTGAGTGAGAGTGAGCTGTGTGTGAGCTGTGAGTGAGAGTGAGCTGTGTGTGAGAGTGAGCTGTGAGTGAGAGTGAGCTGTGTGTGAGAGTGAGCTGTGAGTGAGAGTGAGCTGTGAGTGAGAGTGAGCTGTGTGTGTGAGTGAGCTGTGAGTGAGAGTGAGCTGTGAGTGAGAGTGAGCTGTGAGTTTGAGAGTGAGCTGTGTGTGATAGTGAGCTGTATGTGAGGGTGAGCTGTGAAAGAGAATGAGCTGCGTGTGAGAGTGAGCTGTGAGTGAGAGTGAGCTGTGAGCGAGCGTGAGCTGTGTGTGAGAGTGAGCTGTGAGTGAGAGTAAGCTGTGAGAATGAGCTGTGTGTGAGAGTGAGCTGTGAGTGAGAGTGAGCTGTGTGTCAGAGTGAGCTGTGAGTGAGAGTGAGCTGTGAGTGAGCTGTGAGTGAGCTGTGAGTGAGAGTGAGCTGTGTGTGTGAGAGTGAGCTGTGAGTGAAAGTGAGCTGTGTGTGAGAGTGAGCTGTGTGTGGGAGTGAGCTGTGTGTGAGAGTGAGCTGTGAGTGAGAGTGAGCTGCGTGTGAGAGTGAGCTGCGAGTGAGCTGTGAGTGAGAGTGAGCTGTGAGTGAGAGTGAGCTGTGTGTGAGAGTGAGCTGTGTGTGAGAGTGAGCTGTGAGCTGTGAGTGAGAGTGAGCTGTGAGTGAGGGTGAGCTGTGAGTGAGAGTGAGCTGTGAGTGAGAGTGAGCTGTGTGAGTGAGTGAGCTGTGAGAGAGAGTGAGCTGTGAGTGAGAATGAGCTGTGAGTGAGAGTGAGCTGTGCGTGAGCTGTGAGTGAGAGTGAGCTGTGTGTGAGAGTGAGCTGTGAGTGAGAGTGAGCTATGAGTGAGAGTGAGCTGTGTGAGTGAGCTGTGTGAAAGTGAGCTGTGAGAGTGAGCTGTGAGTGAGAGTGAGCTGTGAGTGAGCTGTGTGTGAGAGTGAGCTGTGTGTGAGCTGTGAGTGAGAGTGAGCTGTGTGTGAGAGTGAGCTGTGAGTGAGAGTGAGCTGTGTGTGAGAGTGAGCTGTGAGTGAGCTGTGAGTGAGAGTGAGCTGTGTGTGTGAGTGAGCTGTGTGTGTGAGTGAGCTGGGAGTGAGAGTGAGCTGTGAGTGTGAGAGTGAGCTGTGTGTGATAGTGAGCTGTATGTGAGAGTGAGCTGTGAAAGAGAATGAGCTGCGAGTGAGAGTGAGCTGCGTGTGAGAGTGAGCTGCGTGTGAGAGTGAGCTGCGTGTGAGAGTGAGCTGTGTGTGAGAGTGAGCTATGAGTGAGCTGTGAGTGAGAGTGAGCTGTGAGCTGTGAGTGAGAGTGAGCTGTGAGTGAGCTGTGTGAGTGAGTGAGCTGTGAGAGAGAGTGAGTGAGCTGTGAGTGAGCTGTGAGTGAGTGAGCTGTGTGTGAGAGTGAGCTGTGTGAGAGTGAGCTGTGTGTGAGAGTGAGCTGTGTGTGAGAGTGAGCTGTGTGTGAGCGTGAGCTGTGAGTGAGAGTGAGCTGTGAGTGAGCTGTGTGTGAGAGTGAGCTGTGTGTGTGAGTGAGATATGAGTGAGAGTGAGCTGTGTGTGAGAGTGAGCTGTGAGTGAGAGTGAGCTGTGTGTGAGCTGTGAGTGAGAGTGAGCTGTGTGTGAGAGTGAGCTGTGAGTGAGAGTGAGCTGTGTGTGAGAGTGAGCTGTGAGTGAGAGTGAGCTGTGAGTGAGAGTGAGCTGTGTGTGTGAGTGAGCTGTGAGTGAGAGTGAGCTGTGAGTGAGAGTGAGCTGTGAGTGTGAGAGTGAGCTGTGTGTGATAGTGAGCTGTATGTGAGGGTGAGCTGTGAAAGAGAATGAGCTGCGTGTGAGAGTGAGCTGTGAGTGAGAGTGAGCTGTGAGCGAGCGTGAGCTGTGTGTGAGAGTGAGCTGTGAGTGAGAGTAAGCTGTGAGAATGAGCTGTGTGTGAGAGTGAGCTGTGAGTGAGAGTGAGCTGTGTGTCAGAGTGAGCTGTGAGTGAGAGTGAGCTGTGAGTGAGCTGTGAGTGAGCTGTGAGTGAGAGTGAGCTGTGTGTGTGAGAGTGAGCTGTGAGTGAAAGTGAGCTGTGTGTGAGAGTGAGCTGTGTGTGGGAGTGAGC